GCTTGGTGCACTTGCAGACTATTGTTTTTTTGGGCGATCTCGTTGTCGTCCCCGTCGTGGCATTGGCCAGTTTTTTCCTGTCCTTTGTAACAGTCCCAGAAGCCTTTGCGAAAGTTAACTCGACCCAGTCTTGTTCTCATTTCTAAATTATCCAATGAAATTGAAGTAATAAAACTAGCCTCCCTGTAACAAAAAGAGGCCTCTGCGGAGAGGTCAGAGGTCACCACAAAATTTTTTTAAAAATAATTCTACTACTTACTATATTTGGCAGTTCTATTGTGAGTAGCTGCCAGAGATCAGGGAAACAAGTTTAATTCACATATATTTCTGAATGCAAAAGTAAAATAAAAGTAGAAAAAAAAACAAGTTGTTGAACCACGAATAGGATAATAATCAATGTCAAATCAATAATGTAGCCTCTTGGAAGAAATGAAGTTTTAAAATAGAAATTTTAATATTTGTAATGAAACGGATAAGTTCAATCAAATTGAGATTTTATATTTATGCTCTTATACAAGAGAGAACTAACAACCAATGTAGCTGATATTAGATGTGCAAGGTATTAATAGAGTTGTTACTTGTTTGTATACAAGAGAATGGTTTCACTGTTGTCAAACATGATTTGCTCCCCTCCCCCACCCCCCCCAACACGACCCTATATTTCATTCTCCCTACCTCTGCCCCTTCTCACCAAGCACACACATGCCTTAAGTTCGAAAGTTGGTGCATGTGCAGAAAGCAAAATTTCTCTTCTCTTTGCTTCTTTTCCTTTTTTCAAAAGTCCTGGTAACTTTTTAAGTGTAAAGGCTAAATTTTAAAATCACCATCCGATATAAAGAGCAACCCTAACCAGTCTCTGTTTGTTTTGTTTGTTTGTTTGTTTTTTTAACCATATATATTTTTTACTAATTGACTGGATTCAATGGAGTCATACTGCTGCTGCATTACAGCTCCACAAGGTATTGCGATAATTGTATTCCTAGTTAACTAATAGTCTTATAGCTTGTGCAGGTCCCCTCGTGCATAGCTCTAACCGAAAAAGACTAACCGGCACCAGCGCCTATTTCCCTTTCGTAAACAGTTGTTGCCATCATAGCCATTTTTAATGGTCCCATGCAACCATTGGTAACCAAGCCTTTAGTCATGATGGGTGTAATATATTCCCTCGATTAAGTCACAATAAGGCAAATAATACATTTTTGAATAGTCTTGGAAAGAACGAAGTTGAAGCCCAAGTTGAATTTACGTTACAAAATTATGGAAAGGGCTAGGGTCACCTGTTATTGATGTAACAGTTAAGAAAGCCAAATTGCTAGTGTATGTACTTAATTTTTTTCGGAATTTTGGTACGTCGGTGTGGTAATGTAGTAGTAAGGAGAGATTAGGATACGAAAGGTCCGGGTTCGAGGTCCAGGTTCGACCCTGGGTTGCGATTTTCTTTCTTTTTTACTGAATAGAAATGATTTCAATAACGGGTCAAAAAATGGCACTGACTGTTTACGAAAGGGACAACTGTGGGGCCAGCCAAAGATTTTTAAAGCCAAACCAGGGACTTTCAAAAAACGCGCCCTTTCCCTCATGCTCAAGAGACTATCCCATTCCCAACCCACCCCCCCCCCTCCCCTCCGCCCCCCTCCCGGGCCAAATTGGGTTGTTAATTTGCCTTTGGCGTAAACAAATGGTAATGCCTGTTGTAAGCAAAACTAAGGCCCTGCCTGTTTGGATCTTCTGCAAAACTCTCCACCTCCAATTCTTTTATTATAAAGTCTTCTCCATAAATTTCTCTTCTGAGCTCTTCGGAGATGCTGGCAGGTGGTTTGTTCCCGCGGTCAAGTTCATAGTGATGGCTCTCCAACATGTACCTTCCATCGGCGGCTAGAAGGGATCGCATATGTTTCGTGTATCTTTTGCCTCGATCTCCTACTCCAGGTTGCACTGCAGATAAAGAGCCACGATCCCATATCGCATCGAATTCTCCACCAGCGTCCTCAGCTGTCAGAGCAAATAAATCGCAGCAAAAAATGGTTATTTGCTTCTCCACGCATTTGTATACGTCGATTGGATCGCTTGCTGCGACGATTTTAACTTTTTCCAGCTTGAAGGTCAGCTTGCTCTCTTGAAAGAAATCCTCGACTGCCTGCTTGGCTAACTCTACACCCACGACATTGTAGCCTTGATCCGCTAACCACAACAGATCCAGACTTTTTCCGCACAATGGAACGAACACTCGCAAGCTGGATCGCCCTTGCGTCAGCTCATCGGCGTACTTGATGAGAAACCTATTCACGGTGTCTTTGTGCCATCCTATTTGATTATCCTCCCAACGCTTCAACCAATACTCAGGTGTTGTCGTCTCCACTTCTTCAGACATCATTTAGGCAAGATTTTTAGTTTTTCACAATACAGATTCGAGAGAAAAACGAGAGAATGCTACAATGTGCATGCACGGCCGGCCGGCGACCTCCACTATAAACGCTTTATATAATACATCACAAACTGTCCATCCACACTTCCCCAGTCCCTTCCTATCAACGAGCGGACAGAGCTCCTCGCGCAAAAAAAAACATGAAACAAAAAAAAAACATGAAAATAAAAAAGGAAACAAGAAGAAGATTCTGATATAATTTTATTGCTAATTTTGACACGTAAATAACGATTACTGAAATTCTCATGTAAAACCTTATAAAATAAAATCTCTGATACGTGGACAACGATTCTCACTTGAATTTGGGGTTCCTGTGCCGTCAAAAGACGTTGGGAAGGGCGTAACATGGTAAGTGTTTTAACAAACAAGGGGGAATAGGGGGATACCAGAACACCTTGAACCCCCTCCCTGGGAACGACCCTGTTATAGTTAATTTTAATAAAACAAATAACTTAGAAGTCTCTCTTCTTCGCAGAGGCTAGCCCGCGTAACTGGCGGGGAGTAGCGGGTGAGTGTTTTTTTTCTGGCCGCCGCGTGAAGATTGGGAGGTACGTACCCCCCGGCATAACAATCCCCGCGCTGGGTTCTGGGTATTCCAATTCACCACTTGAGAAACGAGGAGGAAACTGGAGCCGAAATGCGCCCCGCAATTGTTTCTGAGGGCATTACTGGGGACGCGCCGGTCAACTATTAGGGAGTTTAAGATACCTCGACGGCCACGAAAACGTCGCTTGAAGAGTGAATTTGCGTTCTTTCAATCTCTATCGCGACTACTCCAACTCATTTAATTTTTCAAATGCAAGAGAACTCTTTTTGCGCCATATTCCTAAGAACCACATTCAAGTTCAGAAAGAGAACGAAAAGTTTACGTCCTCCATAAAATGTGAAATTAGTCATTTTTCCGTCGTAGTCGTACAGTAACGGCAAAGAAATGTATAGAAAAGCTTGATGCACTTGCAGACCATTGTTTTTTTCACGTCGCCGCTCGTTGTCGTAGCCGCCGTGGCATTGGCCATTTTTTCCCTGTCCTTTATAACAGTCCCAGAAGCCTTTGCAAAAGTTAACTCGACCCAGTCTGTTTCTCATTTTCAAGTTGTCCAATGAAATTGAAGTAATAAAAGTAGCCTCCCTGTAACACAAAAAGGTCTCTGCGGACAGGTCAGAGGTCACCACAAAAAATCTTTAAAAATGATTCTAGTACTTGCCATATTTGGCAGTTCTATTGTGAGTAGCTGGAAGAGATCAGGGAAACAAGTTGAATTCATATATATTTCTGAATGCAAAAGGAAAAAAAACAAGTCAGCAAACCACGAATAGGATAATAATCAGTGTCAAAATCAATAATGTAGCCTCTTGGAAGAAATGAAGTTTTAAAAAATCGAAAAATTTAATATTTGTAATGAAACGGATAAGTTCAATCAAATTGAGATTTTATATTTATGCTCTTATACAAGAGAGAATTAACAACCAATGTAGCTGATATTAGATATGCAAGGTATTAATAGAGTTGTTACTTGTTTGTATACAAGAGAATGGTTTTACTATTGTTCAACATGATTTACTCCCCTCCCTCGCCACCACGACCCTATATTTCATCATCCCTACCTCTGCCCCTTCTCCCCAAGCACACACATGCCCAAAGTTCCAAAGTTGGTGCATGCACAGAAAGCAAAATTTCTCTTCTCTTCGCTTCTTTTACTTTTTTCAAAAGTCCTGGTAACGTTTTAAGGGTAAAGGCTAAACTTTAAAATCAACATCCAATATAAAGAACAACCATCACCAGTCTCTGTTTGTTTCAGGTTTTTGTTTGTTTGTTTTTTTTTAACCATATATATTTTTTACCTATTGACTGGATTCAATGGAGTCATACCGCTGCTGTGTTACAGCTCCACAAGGTGTTGCGATAATCGTATTTCTAGTTAACTAGCTTGCGCAGGTCCCCTCGTGCATAGCTCTAACCGAAAAAGACTAACCGGCACCAGCGCCTATTTCCCTTTCGTAAACAGTTGTTGCCATCATAGCCATTTTTAATGGTCCGATGCAAACATTGGTAACCAAGCCTTTAGTCATGATGGGTGTAATATATTCCCTGGATTAAGTTACAATAAGGAAAATAATACATTTTTGAATAGTCTTGGAAAGAACGAAATTGAAGCCCAAGTTGAATTTACGTTACAAGATTATGGAAAGGGCTGGGGTCACCCGTTATTGATGTAACAGTTAAGAAAGGCAAATTGCTAATGTATGTACTTAATTTTTTCGGAATTTTTGTACGTTGGTGTGGTAATGTAGTAGTAAGGGAGAGATTAGGATACGAAAGGTCCGGGTTCGAGGTCCAGGTTCGACCTGGGTTGCGATTTTCTTTCTTTTTTAATAGAAATGATTTCAATAACAGGTCAAAAATTTTCTAAATGTGTCTTAAAAAGAGCACTGACTGTTAACGAAAGGGACAACTCTGGGGCCAGCCAAAGATTTTTAAAGCCAAACCAGGGTCTTTCAAAAAAACGCGCCCTTCCCCTCATGCTCAAAAAACTATCCCATGCCTTCCCCCCCAACCCCGGCCCAATTTTGGTTGTTAATTTGCTTTCGGAATAAACAAATGGTAGTGCATGTCGAAAGCAAAACTAAGGCCCTGCCTGTTTGGATCTTCTGCAAAACTCTCCACCTCCAATTCTTTTATTATAAAGTCTTCTCCATAAATTTCTCTTCTGAGCTCTTCGGAGATGCTGGCAGGTGGTTCGTTCCCGCGGTCAAGTTCATAGTGATGGCTCTCCAACATGTACCTTCCATCGGCGGCTAGAAGGGATCGCATGTGTTTCGTGTACTTTTTACCTCCATTACCAACTGCAGGCTGCATTGCGACTAAAGAACCACGATCCCATATAGCATCGAATTCTCCACCGACAGCGTCCACTGTGAGAGCAAATAAATCGCAGCAAAAAATGGTTATTTGCTTCTCCACGCATTTGTATACGTCGATTGGATCGGTTGCCGCGACGATTTTAACTTTTTCCAGCTTGAAGGTCAGCTTGCTCTCTTGAAAGAAATCCTCGACTGCCTGCTTGGCTAACTCTACACCCACGACATTGTGGCCTTGATCCGCTAGCCATAACATATCCAGGGTTTTTCCGCACAATGGAACGAACACTCGCAGGTTCGACCGCCCCCGAGTCAGCTCATCCGCGTATTTTATGAGAAACTTATGAACGGTGTCTGCATGCCACCCGATGTCATCATCCTTCCAGAGTTTCTCCCAATATTCAGGTTTGGTTGTTTCGTCCTCTACAGACATCAGCTTGGACAATTTGCAAATTTTTTNCCGATATAAAGAACAACCCTAACTAGTCTCTGTTTGTTTTGTTTGTTTTTTTTAACTATATATATTTCTTACCTATTGACTGGATTCAATGGAGTCATACTGCTGCTGTGTTACAGCTCCACAAGGTGTTGCGATAATGGTATTCCTAGTTAACTAATAATTTTATAGCTTGCACAGGTCCCCTCGTGCATAGCTCTAACCAAAAAAGACTAGCAGGCCCCAGCGCCTATTTCCCTCTGGAAAACAGTTGTTGCCATCATAGCCATTTTAAATGGTCTAATGCCACCATTGGTAACCAAGCCTTTAGTCATGATGGGTGTAATATATTCCCTCGATTAAGTTACAATAAGGCAAATAATACATTTTTGAATAGTCTTGCAAAGAACAAAGTTGAAGCCCAAGTTGAATTTACGTTACAAAATTATGGAAAGGGCGAGGGTCACCTGTTATTGATGTAACAGTTGAGAAAGACAGTTTGCTAGTGTATGTACTTATTTTTTTCGGAATTTTGGTACGTCGGTATGGTAATGTAGTAGTAAGGGAGAGATTAGGATATGAAAGGTCCGGGTTTGATGTCCAGGTTCGACCCTGGGCCAGCCAAAGATTTTTAAAGCCAAACCAGGGACTTTCAAAGAAAAAAGCCCCTTTCCCTCATGCTCAAGAAACTATCCCATGCTCCCCCCTCCCCCGGCCCAAATTTGGTTGTTAATTTGCCTTTGGGATAAACAAATGGTAGTGCATGTCGAAAGCAAAACTAAGGCCCTGCCTATTTGGATCTTCTGCAAAACTCTCCACCTCCAATTCTTTTATTATGAAGTCTTCTCCATAAATTTCGTTTCTGAGCTCTTCGGAGATGCTGGCAGGTGGTTCGTTCCCGCGGTCAAGTTCATAGTGGTGGCTCTCCAACATGTACCTTCCGTCAGCGGCTAGAAGGGATCGCATGTGTTTCGTGTACTTTTTGCCTCCATTACCAACTGCAGGCTGCATTGCGACTAACGAACCACGATCCCATATCGCATCGAATTCTCCACCGACAGCGTCCACTGTGAGAGCAAATAAATCGCAGCAAAAAATTGTTATTTGCTTCTCCACGCATTTGTATACGTCGATTGGATCGCTTGCCGCGACGATTTTAACTTTTTCCAGCTTGAAGGTCAGCTTGTTCTCTTGAAAGAAATCCTCGACTGCCTGCTTGGCTAACTCTACACCCACGACATTGTGGCCTTGATCCGCTAGCCATAACATATCCAGGGTTTTTCCGCACAATGGAACGAACACTCGCAGGTTCGACCGCCCCCGAGTCAGCTCATCCGCGTATTTTATGAGAAACTTATGGACGGTGTCTGCATGCCACCCGATGTCATCATCCTTCCAGAGTTTCTCCCAATATTCAGGTTTGGTTGTTTCGTCCTCTACAGACATCAGCTTGGACAATTTACAAATTTTTTACTTCCAAAATGCTATGTAAATAGTGGCGTGCCGATGTAGCGGTGATTTTGCCTTCAAATATTACATAACAAAGTGTCCATTCACTGATAATCTCGTACCCAAGCCTCTTGTCGAGAGCTCTGTGGACTTAAGGTGGCTGAACACAGTTTTGGCAGTTTGTGAGTATATGTCATCTGCCAAATCATGGCAAGGGAAAGGTTGCAGCTCACAAGCTGAAACTTGGCAAGTGAAAAATATACTGATGAAAGATTTTGATTGAAAGGTAAAATTTGACGTTTTCGTAGTTTCCATGGTAACATGAACAATTGAATGCAACCTTAAAATTTCGCTTTTGCTCAGTTTACATAAAATTCGCTCATTAGATTTTCCTATAAACTTGCACACAGCTTACTATGATTAATCATTGCCATTTGAAACTTATTTGACCAAATTTTAACAGACGGGTTTTTAGATAATCAATAATATAATTGTACTGTAATTATTAAATGTGTCACAAAATTCAGCTGTTCAACTTCCATTTTAAAGTTCTCATTGTTTAAAATACGATAAAAGTAAAAATTCTGCCAAATATCACAAAATTTTAATGAGTAGATTTTGCGATATCGTCTTCTGTGTACCATTGCTTTTTCGCCGCCATGTTTTTTATTTAAAACACGCGCCGTCACGCGAGTTACCGCTGACAGCCTGCAAAACTGTGTTCAGCCACCTTAATGGTTGGTGGTAGTACAGATAAAGTTTTTCACTCAGGCGAGGCACGATTTTCTTTTGTCATTTTAAGTTTGGCCTCAAATCTCCAATCACCAAAATAGACTCAAGAAGTTGTCATGCTTGGGCATCAGGATGGTAGATGGGCATCACATCAACATTAAATGGGGATGATATGGATTGACATATCAGATACACAAAGTATTTAAATAAAGGCACACTGTTAATTAGGAAAGCAAGGGCCAGCTTGAAATAAAAGTGATTTTCATGAAAAGCTTGATTGTTGTTAAATAGTTTGCATGCTTGGTTTTATGCCAATAATTTGCTCATAGACTCCCAAGGGTTGTACTCCCTTATGGCATATCCAGGGATGAGATCCAAACAATTCCCTGGGGAAGCCCGCCCTCGTACCCCGCGAGAAGCTTGCACCTTCGGCGCTAGTTTAGTTAATCGGTCAGTATTTAGCCTAGATCCACGCCTGGATTTTGCTTGAAATTCATGGGATGCCTGTGACAAAGTCCATTTGAGATTTTGGTTGATTCTCCATCACAAAAAACAAACCTCTCCCCCTCCCATCACTCAACCCTCCCTTCCTAAGTGGATGATAATTTGATTCTTGCGGGGAGGGGGTGTTGTTGATTAGTCTCAACAACACTCATGACACTACTTCATTTTTGGACTCTCACAGTATGGATACTTGAAGAGAACCAATTAACAGAAATATTTCCTGCATAATAATAATGATAATAATATTAATTATTAATAGTAATAATAATAATAATATATCACTTTCCTCTTTGTCACTGCTGAAGAGACAACATGGCCACGTTTGTTGGCGGCCTTCTTGAAAAGAGGGAAACAGTGAGTCTGCACATTTGGTGGCCACGGCAAGTCACAGTAGGCTAAAAGAACGTTATCAAACGTAACCACTAAGCTTTTTTTTTTTTGGATTGAGCTGGCTATCTATTGACATCTAACTTAAAAAATAACCCTACAGCTCCAAAATGTTTTTGGAGTTTGACTTTTCCACAAAGCGTGAGAAATCATTTGCCAATTCATGAGACGATGAGATAGGTCGCGAAATTGTGAGAATCATGAAAAAGTAGTGGGACTTGGCAAGTCTGGTCAAAGTTTTGGTGTTGTTCTTTCAGGGAGCCACAACCAAGGCTTTCCCATAGCGTACCACAAAGAAAAATTCACAGTTCTGCTAAGCAACGTACACTAAAGTGCAAAAAGCAGACTATGGTATTGCAGTGTGCAAAGAAAATCATGTCCGATAGCCTGTGGCTAGTGGATTTTGCTATCGGGCTAGTGATTTTTGTCCTTAGCTTGCCCTATGGGCAAGTGCTGTTTTTTGGGGAAAATCCAATTGCAGAAGGATTGTAATCAATCCTGCTAATCATAACGGGTTTTGGGGCTAGTTGAAATGACTTGTGGGCTTGTACATGCTAACTACAGCTTGCCCGAATGGCAGGCTATAAGACTGAATTTCTTTGCACCCTGTATTGACACTTTTCCCATAAGAACACAAAATGACTGGTACTATAAGTTCCACAATAAATTTGAGTTTGAGTCTGAAACACATGAAAATTTTATTTTAACACCTCAAAGGGCCATTCTACACTGCATATTTATTATTACATGATTAGTTCTGGCTGAAATTAGACTTTTTTAATGTATTTTTTGGGAAAAAAAATGGAGTAGGGATTGTGATAAAAAAATAGACTGTTCACAGTCCCCTATTTTTTCGTGAGATCGTGTAGATATACTGCGTCTTACCGTGACGGGTATCTTGATTTTCAAATGTACCGATAGGGCGGGTGTCAGGGATTATAGCTCTGGGGGGGGGAGGGGCGAGAAAAATAGAGGGACTGTAATAACATCACTGCAGCTCGCGTTCACGGAGCGCGTTGTACCAGCAACACAGGCATTTGATTGGTCATTAGACAATAGATGTTACAGCGGTTTTCACTTGACTGTCGTAAAACCAAAACCAAAGTAAATACACTAGCCAACCAAAGGACGTAGTAAAACCAAAACCAAAACCAAAACCAATCCCAAATTCTACACTGCATATTTATTATTACATGATTAGTTCTGGCTGAAATTAGACTTTTTTAATGTATTTTTTGGGAAAAAAAATGGAGTAGGGATTGTGATAAAAAAAATAGACTGTTCACAGTCCCCTATTTTTTCGTGAGATCTTGTAGATATACTGCGTCTTACCGTGACGGGTATCTTGATTTTCAAATGTACCGCTAGGGCGGGCGTCAGGGATTATAGGGACTGTAATAACATCACTGCAGCTCGCGTTCACGGAGCACGTTGTACCAGCAACACAGGCATTTGATTGGTCATTAGACAATAGATGTTAATTTGCGTTTTGCCGACATTGACAAGTCATTGACAAGTCGACGTTTCCACAAAAAGTACGCTTTCATACCATAAGGCACATCTTGCGCAAACACAATTTTGGTATTTTGATTAGGAAAATGTTTTCTTGTGCATGTTTGCCGATTTTATTTCGAGGAATGGCCCAGAAATATTATAAAATCACTGTTTCGCAAGGAGATATTTGTAAACACACGTAATCGATGCTAAATGTGTCTGGCCTGTTTTTCATCACCAGCGGAGTTTCTTAATTAATAATTTATTAATGGTGAAAGGCGTGAAATTCCTGTCACGCCTCCTGAACGCGAGCTGCAGTGATGTTATTACAGTTTCTCTATTTTTCTCCCTTCCTCCCAAACCGCCCCCTGCCCCTTAAGTAGTTTTGACACTCATGCAAGATGGCAGCCCGTAACACAAAACGCTCGATTTCGATGATCTTACGGAAAAATAGAGGACTGTGAACAGTCTATAAAAAAAAGAGTGCACGATTATGAATTCTTGTGCAACACAAGTGGGAATGTGGGTCATGAACCCCACTTCCAGGCGCCTGTATCCATTCTTGAAATATTTACAAGCTAAATATAAAGTTAAATTTTTAATTAGCCTTTGGTGTGAACAAATGGCAGTAATTGTTCATAGTAAAGGGTGCAGGACTATTTGGATCGTTTCCAATTCTTTCAACCTCTAGTTCTTTAATGAAAAAATCTTCTCCGTAAATGTCGTTCCTTAGCTCTTTGGAAATGCTGGCAGGTGGTCTGTTTCCGCGATCAATTTCATAGTGGAGACTGTCAAGCATGTACCTTCCATTAGCTGCCAGAAAAGATCGCATATGTTTCGTGTATCTTTTGCCTCGATCTCCTACTCCAGGTTGCACTGCAGATAAAGAGCCACGATCCCATATCGCATCGAATTCTCCACCAAGGTCCTCAGCTGTCAGAGCAAATAAATCGCAGCAAAAAATGGTTATTTGCTTCTCCACGCACTTGTAAACATCGATGGGATATGTTAACGTTGCAGAGGCGATTTTAACTTTCTCCAGCTTGAAAGTCAGCTTGTTTTCGTTAAAGAACTCCTCAATTCCCTGCTTTGCTAGCTCTACACCCACCACATTGTGCTGTTGGTCCGCTCACCACAACATATCCAGACTTTTTCCGCACAATGGAACGAACACTCGCAAGCTGGATCGCCCTTGAGTCAGCTCATCGGCGTACTTGATGAGAAACCTTTTCACGGTGTCTTTGTGCCATCCTACTTGATTATCCTCCCAACGCTTCAACCAATACTCAGGTGTTGTCGTCTCCACTTCTTCAGACATCATTTAGGCAAGATTTTTAGTTTTTCACAATACAGATTCGAGACATTCGAGAGAAAAACGAGAGAATGCAATGTGTACTATAAACTTTTATATAATATATCACAAACTGTCCATCGGCACTTTCCCAGTCCCTTACGATCCACGAAAGACAGAGAGCTCCTCGCGCAAAACCTCAATACATGAAAAATAAAACAAGGAGACAAGAAGAAGATTCTGATATAATTTTATTGCTAATTTTGACAACTAAATAACGATTACTGAAACTCCCATGTCAAACATTATACAATGAAATCTCTGTTACGTGGACAACGATTCTCACTTTTGAGTTGGGGGTTCCTGTGCAGTCAAAACACGTTGGGAAGGGCGTAACATGATAACTGTACGAGTATTTTAAATAAAAAATTCGCGGCTCATTCTGCTCCTACATTTAAGACTTGCAATTTATAGAAACAGCCGAACCTTCTGTTAGTGAGCTCTCAAAATGGGAAGATAAGTTGATTCGAGGTGGTCTCTACCATCGCGCCATCGCGAACCATGCACAGGGATTCTCTTCCCAGAAGAA